TATATAATTTCAGGACGATTTACATATCTAACACCTAAATTTTAATTTTTACATATATGCCAAGTTACCTATATATTAAAAGATAATTAATCTTTTGAAAATTAAAATATTTTTATTAAGTGATATAAAAGATTTCGATGGCATAAATATAAAAATTTATGTATAAATTAGAAAAAAACTTTGCTTTTTGTAACATTTTATGCAGGCCACATATAGTAGGAGAAATATTTGTGTATGTAATACGTACGCAGAGTTGCGTACATATTAGGTTATTCGGAGGGTGCAATTAGGTTACACTTAGGTTATACCTCTTGTAATTCTTCCTCTAACATATGTGTAACCTACCTCTACCCTCCGAATAACCTAATATGTACACAACTCTGCAACCTAATATGTACACCTAATATGTACACAACTCTGCGTACGTCTTACGTACGCAAATATTTCTCCATGTAGTTGGGTGTAAACGAGGCGACTTGAGGAGCTTGAGCTCGGCCTCATCTTGAGCTTGATTAATTAATCGATTTCAAGCTCAAGTTCAAGCGTAGTTTATTAGTTCAAGCCAGCTCACGAGCCAGCTTATTTAGCATGAAAGAGACAAAAAAAATGTATTAATTTAAGCTAATATTATAATTAAATGATAAATATAATTAAGGTTTAACATAACATTAATAAGATATCACTTGATAAAAAATGTAAAAAATCAGTTCTTAAATATTTTAAATAATTTAAAGTAAAATATTTTTATATTAGAAGTTAATTTGGATTTACTAAACTCATTTACCTTAAACTTGTTTGGCAGTGAATTTGATAAATCCAATTAAAATTTGTAAAATTATTTGGCAAATTCTGTAAGGATTTAAGAGTTTGTTAGATTTGTTTGAATGCGGGCACATAATTAAATTTTGATGTTTTTCATTATAAAAGGTAAAAATTAATTATTAAATCTAATTATATTTTATTTAGTTTTTATTTTGAATTATACTAATTTATAATTAACTATTCACTGAACTAATTGATTACTAATTTTTTTAAACTTAATTATATTTAAGTAATAGTTAAACATTTTAATTAATGATTAATTACTTATTTAATATACTAATTAGTAGTTACTTAGAATGCTATTGAATAAATAAAGTTTAATATAATTCATTTTTATTCATTAATTATTAAATAGTCACATATAAATTTATTTATATTATTATTTATTTGAAAATATATCAAATTATTATTATTTATTGCTAACTTAAATTAATAAAGAATTAATTTAATAAAAGTAAATTACAATCATAAACCTATCTTCCACTTCTCTATCCTCTTGCCTCGAAACTCTCGCCTATGCCTCCTCTCCCTCTCCCAATTTCGCCCGACGCTCCGTGCTCTCGGTTTCGCTCAATCAAATTCTCGCGATACATCGATGATTAGAGCTATCTCAAAAGTCAATGATAGGATCACGACGTACAAAGACTATCGAAACTCTCAACTTTCTCCTCCTCTAAAATCTTGCTCTAAATCCTACTCTAAATCATTTACCACCAGACAAGCCCTTATCTCGGATAATAATGAACTCAACTGCCTTATCTAACATATAGTGAAGTCACCTCATTATTTCATATCATAAAGAATCAATCTCCTTATCCAGATCAAAATGATGACCTCTCCTATCTCTTATCACAATGAACTCATTTCTCTCATCTCAGATGATAATGAAGCCACCTCTCTTATCTTAGTGATAAGTGGTCCTTATCTCAGTGAGAAGTGGAAGTATATATCAAAATTAGTACATAAATAAATAACTAATCATGACAGATGCACCGAGGGTGTAAATTTGTCGAGTCAAGCTCGAGCCACTCTCGGCTAGAGCTTGAGGTTGAGCTTGTCGAGCAATGAGAGAGAATAATATTTATTTAAGGTAGTTTTATAATAAAATGACAAATATAATGAGCAATTATGAGAGATATAATAAGAAATCACCTATTATAAAATATCAAATATATATTTTTTTAATTTTTTTATACTTAAAAGATAAAGTCTTCAAATTTAATATATTTGGAGAAGATTTTATATTAATGTTTTTTTTTAAAACAAGCTGGTTCATAAGCTAACGAGTTGAGTCAGGGCTAGCTTGAGTTGGCTTGTTAGCGTATCGAGCTCAGTTCACGAGCCACTTATCGAGCTAAGCTCAAGCCCGTTCATGAGTCGGCTTGACTCACTTACACCAATTGTCTTGGATTGTTAGAATCAGTGTTTTGTAAATTAATTATTTGAAAGAAACAGTTTAAATTTAATTAGAAGTAGACTAGGAGACAGAAAATAATAAACAATCGCACATGATCATTTGGGTACTAATTATTACTCTTAATAATTAATTATAGGAGTAATTAAGAGTTGTTAACTAGTATTTTAACATTCTGATGTTACTACTGCCCTATTTTGATTTTAAGAGAAGCATATATGTAATATTGGAGAGATCACTAGGATCATATAATGATTTAACTTAATATAATAAAAATAATATATAAAATGAGTTATAAAATGTTTGGCAGGAAGTTCATGAAATAACTATTCAGGCAAAAGAGAACATACCATATATCTAACTAATATGCAAATTAAGAAAAAAAGAGTTTATTTGTTCAATTACATAGAGTTTGGTTCAAAATTTAAGATTAATTAGTTGTTAATAATATGATTAGTTTAAAAATTGAAACTATTTATTTTCAATTCTGTTCTCTTAGTTGCTAATCATATATAAACATATTTTATATATTGGTATGTTAGCACATATAAAACCATCTTATTTTTCACAAAAAAAAGTCCCAAATTTCTTATAACAATGCTCACAAGTTTGATTCAGAAGAGTAGATGAATGCTTTGTTCATATCTAAACAGATTACTCAGATCAACTTTAGTCTTCACCTGTGAAATTACCGTTAAAATACTTCTCACCCCAAACACTAGCTACAACATAACTTGTGTTCCCTTCTCCATTAACACCCAAATCCAAATCTCTGTAATTAAGATAGGCACTTCTTGGATTTTTTGAAACATAACGAGCCATGAACTCGTAGAACTTTCTCATCCACATCAAATGCCTCTGCGTTGTTTCAACCACGTTTTCAGACCATTGAGTAAGATACTGTATATCATACAAACTTCCCTTTCTATAAGGATATGGAGTTTCAGTTTCTGAGACTTCAGCTACCATTCCTCCTAAAGGATCAATAATCATCATAATCTGTTGATCAGTCCCCTCAAGAAGAAACCTAAAGATCTCCTTCCATTCTTCTTCATTTATTAGAGTCGTTAAAATATCTGATTTGTTCTTGAAGATGTTGTGTTTGATAGTGACCCTCTATCAAGTAGGACATTTAAAGGTGCAGTCGAAGAGAAACCAACATTGTTTAGAACAGATTCAATCCAACTCATTTCAGTACAGTATGTTTCCTTCAATTCTAGTTCTGGAAAGCTTTGTTCTAAAATGGAAACAAGTTCTTGTTCTTGACCAAGGAACAAGGAGTTGAAAGTGGCTTGAAGTGTTGTTTTTGTATTGTCTACACTCACTGTTTGCAAGATTAATTGCAAAAATATTCTTTTATCGATATTGTAAGCTATATTCTGGTACGTACTGGCTAATTTTGTTGCACCTTCTTCTAGTGTTTTTGAAATGGTAAAGACTGTAACTTGTTTAAAATTTTTAATTATTTAAAAATGTAAGGATAAGCATTTTTAATGATGCAATTTGATGAGATTTTATTAATAAGAAAAAGTGAAAATAAACAATAACCAAGGAAGTGTTTGATTCTTAATTTGTATTTTCTATTGTTATTGTGAATATATAATTGCTTACACGCTAACCTTTGGGATTGAAGGTTCATTTGAGATGATTGCAATTATTTGTAAAACTTGCAATGGCATTTTGTGTGAAAAAGTTGG